TTCTCCTTATATCGCACACCTTGCCATAAATATCTGCAAATTATCCTCCCATAAATCCGGCCTGCGTACCACGAATAATTTGTGGTCCAATATTTCAGAAAAATTCCGCGCGGTCTAAGTTATATATCAACCAACTTTGTATTTTAGGATATTAATTTCCCGTCTGCGTTCGTATTACTACAGTCATATATATGTATATATACATACTCCTAACCGTAGCAGGTCATAGTGAAGCATTTCATAAAGAAGTCAGTCTAAAATATGTTACAAGAAATCTGTTAGTTACTTTTTTGGTAAATGTCTAGATGATGGCCCCCACCCCCTTTGAGGGGAATCGAAAGAGGAGGTCTCCCCTACCACTGTACCATAAAAAGTTCGTGACGGTCTCAGCCCCATAATAAGTTATGGGGGTTACATGGGGGTGGGGGTAGGGGGGATCGAAAGAGGGTAGCGGGGATCGAAAGAGGGTGGTCACCTGAGTAAAACCCCATAAAAAATTTGCGGCGGTGTCACCCTCATAAAAAGTTATGGGGGTTGAAAGTTGATTATTTTGACAATTTTCATACACTATAATTCAAATCAAAATCAATAAAAAAATATTTTCAAATGGGTGGAGGTGGGGGATCGAAAGACGGTGGTCACTTGAACAAAACTCGATAACCTAACCTAACCTAACCTACCCTATTGATAAAGATATTTAAATAATGTTTATATAACTTTCTCAATATTTTTATGTATTTTTCCATTAGTTTTACCTTTGAATATTGTTTAAGAATGACTATACAAATATTTACATGAAATGTATAAAAATTGGCATATTTATTAACTTTGAACCCCTATAACTTTTTAAGGGGGTGAGACCGCCACGAACTTTTTATGGTACAGTGGTGGTGGAGACCTCCTATTTCAATCCCTCCCATCGGGGGTGGGGGGCCATCATCTAGACCTTTACCCATCCTACATCTTTAATGATTTGTAATGGATAATCTAGGTCTACCTCTACTCCTCTTAACTCATGTTTCTGCTTTTAATATGTCAGTTAATAGCTAATAAAAAGAAGCTCGAAGTTGTTTCATTATTAATAGGCACATTCTTAGGACATCCTGTGCATAAATGGATATTTAAATCAAATTGAAAAAGTTATGTTTGAAAGTTAAATAATCTTACCGAGAAAGGTATAAAATATACCTAGACCTTATTAGAATGTTATTTTATCGCTGAATGTAATGATTTTAAACTGAATTCCCGATGAGCTAGAGACTTGAATTTTTATAGATCAATCGCCTAGAAATGGATAGTCAGTTTAAAACCAATTGCAAAATTTGTATCAAATAGGCAGTTAATCAAAAAACACGTTAATATCACATTTTCATCCAGTTCTGAGCTTTTTTGAAAAATTCAAGTCTAGCTTTTCGGGACATGAAGGTCTAGTCAGAGACATATTAGAGGCAGAAACAGGAGTTAGAGGGGTAAAGGTAGACCTAGATTAGATTACTGTTCGCAAATAGTTAAGGATGTAGGTTGTGCTAGTTTTAGGGAAATGCGAAGTTTAGCTCAGGTTAAGAAAGAGTGAAGGTACGTGTCCAACCAGTCTTAGGACTGACGACCTTATGATGATGATGATGAACTTTTCGGGAAGTTAATCTACAGCCAATTGCAAAATTTATACAAAACAGTTAGACATGAAAGTGAGTTAATGCTGCATTGCCATCCATTTCTTGGATATGCTTGTATATATTAAAGTCTCTAACTTATCGGGAAGTTTTCTCGCATTCTCGTCTGACTGTCTATTTGGTATAAATTTTGCAACTAACTTTTCGATGAGCTGGAGACTTGAATTTTTACACATAACCCAGATCTAGATCTCAATAGACAATTAATTCATTTTCTTGTTTGATACCAATTTTGCAATTGATTTTAAACTAATTTCCCAATGAGTATGCGACTTCAAATTGAGTTAAAAAATTTCACTCACACAAAATTGGAAAGCTGAAAATAATGATGTAAATAAAAATTATTTCTAAACATATGTAGTATATTTTCAAAAAGGGCTAAAAAGTGTAAAATGTTTCCTCGTATCACCGTAAAAATTCTTAAGACATTCCAGATAGTCCTGCAAATTTTTGTTAATATGAATTTTGAATAAGTATGAAAATATCATTATCTAATGCATTTGCTTTTAATTTCACATATATTTTGATAGATATATTAATAATTAACATTCAAATAATATGTTTTTTGACTCCAATAACTA